TTTTTTTTTTTTTTTTGGATCAGTGGTGATCACATAAATCATATTTATAAATTTTAATGGATTACATAAATGTTATTACATGTTATAATTCATGAATCAATATAATATTGCTACCGTCCCATTACGAGACCATTTCGTCGTGATTTCTAACAGTTAGATTATCATGTAATCGTCATGAATAGTTGATCTAACGGTTACAAATCTTGACGGAATGGTTCCGTAACGGGATTCTATAATCTCCCTATAATATTACCTATTAACGCAATATATTTATAATATTATTAATTACAAAATTTATATATTACACATATAGTTATTTATTTGACACAAATACAACAAAAAAAATTATTAATTCTAAAGGAAATGACGACACAGACATGATAGGACCCGACACTTAAGTGAGAATTTTTTATTGACATCTTAAATAGATTTCAATGATTCAATATCTATCCAAATAAAACATAAACTTAAATGTAAGTATTGTTTCATTTTTTAGTTGGAGAGCCACTAAACAAAATATATATTGTATCCTAAAAATGATTATCATAAGGGAAACTACAATATATATATATATATATAATAGATTATTAATAATGCGAACAGCACATAACACGATAGAGAGAAATGATAATCATGCAAATCACCAAGATCAGCTTCAGGCAGAATTTCAACAATTTCCTCATGCAAATTAGCATCAACATCATGATTATCAGGCTCATTTTCAGACAGATTTTCAGGCATAGGATTTTCAACATGCATATCAGGCACATTCTGCAAATTATCAGGTAAAGGACTCGGACCAGGTACATACTCCACCTCACTCGGAGTAGCAACAGGTTCAGAAGCAGGCAAAGGAGCAGACATGCAAGGAAATTCAAACTCATTGAAAATCACATCCCGACTAATCAACACTTTAAAGCCAGGTTCCCCCCTTAACCATAAACGATAACCCTTAACCCCATCAGGATAGCCTAAGAAGTCACATTTCACAGATCTAGGTTCAAGTTTATCATTTTTCTGATGCACAAAAGCAGAACAGCCAAACACTTTCAAGTTCGATAAATCAATTTGTGTACCAGACCATACAAATTCTGGACATTTACCATTCAAAGGCACAGAAGGAAAACGATTAATCAGATAACATGCAGTTAACACAGCCTCGCCCCAGAACTTTTTAGAAAGACCAGAACACGCAAGCATACATCTCACTCTTTCAAGCAAAGTTCTATTCATACGCTCAGCGACACCATTCTGCTGAGGCGTGTAAGGCACAGTTCTATGTCTTCGAATACCAGAACTAGCACACAAATTATCAAACAATTGGTTGCAAAACTCAAGACCATTATCGGTCCTCAAAACTCGTATTTTCTTGCCTGTTTGATTTTCAATCAAGGTTTTCCAGTTTTTAAACTTCTAAAAAACATCAGATTTGTTTTTCAATAAAAACACCCAAACTTTCCTAGAAAAATCATCAATAACAGACAAGAAAAATCGATTTCCACCGTGAGTCGGCTCACTAGCTGGACCCCATACATCAGCATGCAAATACTCAAGTATTCGAGATGAAACACGTTGTTTTGCAACAGGAGAAACAGGAAAACTCACTCTTGATTGTTTACCAAGCACACATGAATCATAAAATGACATACAAGACAATTTGTCATCACCAAAACAACCACTTTTATGCAAAATCTCAAGACCTTTAGAACTCATGTGACATAAACGTTTATGCCACAAATCAGTTTTGTCACCAAAGACAGCATTCACAGAGTTTTGCATACAAGATTCAGCAAAGCAAACATACAAGTTCATCTTTTTCACAGCTTTGAAGATCACCAAAGAACCCTTCAAAATTTTCATAACACCATTTCCCCATTTACCCTCTAAACCATCATCTTCTAATGCAGCACATGATATCAAATTTTGGCACAAATCAGGAACATGCCTCACATTCTTCAAAGTTAACACATAACCAGAATTAAAACGCAGGCAAATATCACCAAGACCAGCAACTTCGCACAATTTCTCATTAGCCATAGAAACATATCCATGTTTCACATCTTTGTAGTTCGAGAACAAATTCTTAAAAGGAGACATATGAAACGTGCATGCAGAATCAAGAAGCCATTCAATTTCACAAATAGAACGAGAACGCACAGAATTCACATTAGCATGCATTTCAGTCACCATAAAAACATCACCATGATTCTCACTACTAGATGCCACATTTGCACGATCATTATGATGGATTTTCTTAGGTTTAGGGCACTCATTAATGTAATGACCAGATTCACCACAATTATAACACTTACGATTTTTCGGTCTAGACTTAGACCGACTTTTGC